CTAGAGTCATCCCGGCGCCGCGTTGTGCAATCAGGTTAAAAACATTTAACCCATGTCTATAATAAACCTTCCAAATTTTTTAAGAAATATTTACAGAGTTTATTTATCCCACATAGACGTAATTGGTGCTGTCCTTCTAACATGAAAATAAATAATAACGAAGGGCAAATCAATTTAGACGAAATTTATGAGTTTGTATTTATTCTGACAAAAACAAATGTATGAGTTCGTGCATGATATCATTAACGGTGTCTAGTATAAAATTAAAATAACTATCAACCTTGAGTTGTTACTAATAGCCTCAATTCTGTTACATGTTATATACATATATTTTAGTTTAGGTATAATGTTGTATAAAAAAAAAATTATACTTTGAGAGCAGAGCAGTGCAGCGTAGGGAAGTACTGTTTGTTGGTGAGTAGACTACTAACTAGGAAGACATTTCGAGACATTACATTATTCATTTGTTTATCATCCTCAAAACTAATGAATATATAAAAGAGTAAGTATGGTTAATATTAAAAGTTGGAGTTTTGGAAATTTATAGCAGCTATGGTGAATTATTAAATGAGCAGGCAGGTGGAAAAGGTCTTAAAAATTGGACAGAGAATATGCATCGTTTGTATAGAAAGCATCGATAGCTAATTCTATCTATAAATCTAGATAATATCTATCTACAATGTATAATAAATAAATAAAAAAACTACTACTTACCACTATAAAAAAGATAAATATGCAATATTATGTATCTAAGGAACAAACACAAGTATTGACCGATTTCATTTTTCTGTACACCAATAGATTTTTATACTAAGTAATTTGGTCAATCAAATTAAAGATCAGGACAAAAGTAACAATAATGTGATCTAAGACATCAAAAATGCGTCTGTAAAAGTAAATACTTGGCGCCAGCCCATAATAGGTTGATTTCAACATTAAATAATGTACTTCAGAAATCTGATCTCTCTGCAACTTGTTTTTGCTCCCTATTGATGATCTTTTAACGCCTGAAATTATTGGCTACGCCAGCGATAGCACAGTTGTAGAGTGATATATGTATGTATATATGTTTACGAGCAATCTCGTCTTCGCGAGAGTCTATGATGGAACGGGTTAATTGACACTACATCGGATGTTCGATAGGGGTGATGCCAATCTTGTCTGTTTAAACCCCTTCAAAACACAATCGTACGTCTTTTATGGGAAAAGGACTACATTTGATTTTGTATTATTTAAATTACTGATCATTTATAGTTTTTGGGCAACCACCGTAACACTCAACTTTAATTTCTGACGATAACTTGACTTATAATTATGAAGAGACTAACGCTTTTTATACAAATTTACATTACCTTCATGTGGAAGTTCTAAAAGTGAATTTTTTTTTTTAATAAATACATATTTAATCCAAGAAGAATTTTTCTGTTTTAACCCATTAAAAGTAAGGTCATCATGAAATTAGGATCATTTGTAATCAGGCATTTTTTATCTTTCTTAGCAGCCTTAGCATTACAACTACCTACACCAAAAGCACATCTCTAGTTAGCTTTACTTGTTTAACAATAAGTTTAAGACCATTTGTTTCTGTTAATAAATCTAAGAGTTTAAACAGCTAGTCAAGACATAAATCTCAATTTAGCACCACTCCAATTGTATGTATGTTTAATACCAATACTATACAAGATGTTACAGTGAAAGAATGTGCTCATTTTTAGAAACGTTGTTACTTAGCCGAAAAAATGTTGTTAGCTTAAAAAAAACAAGGATTATAAGACGAAAACATAACCACAAAAACATTATGTAGGTGTGCGTTTTTGACCAATACACTGCCTTATTATTATATTTCTTATTTAATTATTCGAACATTTTCAGATAAATTTACACATTCCACCAACATCCTCGGTATTAATACTCATTGTTTTACTCATGACAGCCCTGTCTCTCACTAAATATTACTGGCTTTTTTAATTAAATAATTAAGTTCTATTTATTAATTTTAATAAAAAGTAAAAGCCCCAATGTTCTTAATTTGTTAGCGCTTCATAGCAAAAAAAAGTATAGGATAACCTTTCTGTGACACTTACACTTACTTACACTACATACATTTGGCACATACCACAAATGGTAAAGGACAATCCCAAAAAAAAAACACTTTCATGTAAAATGTTGCTAAGACTAAACTGTTATGTTATATAATAGTAAAAGTGAATGAAAATTTGACCTTACGCCCATGTGATGATGTTGATGTTGGCAAAAATAGATGTTGGCCGATTCTCAGACCTACCCGATGTGCACACAAAATTTCATGAGAATCGGTCAAGCCGTTTCGGAGGAGTACGGGAACGAACATTGTGACACGAGAATTTTATATATAAGATGATGTTTTTGGTGGGATTTCACTTCTTTTTGTAATTAGCTTATGATAATACATTTTTTTTATTCATTTATTATTTCTTTTTTGGAGTGTATCTCTTGCACATCCTTTATTCACAGCCCACTTTCTATCTTTGCATTTCATACAAACTTCCATCCCCTTGTTTAAGGGGTAATAAGTTTCAAGTTTTAGATGTTTTTTGTTGCTTTTGTACTAATACTAGCTTACATATCAAATTTTAACTTTCTAGGACTTCAGGAGTAAATCCTAGAAATTTTGATGATCATCAGTGAGGCAGTGACAAAATCGGGGTTTTTAGATATCAATAAAACCTAAAGCATAATAGCTATACAATTGAAACTTTATTTTTTTAATCAGTGTACTATTGATATCAAATCTCGAGAATTTTGTTTATCTGGTTTAATCCAAACCTAAGTTATGAGGGTTTAAAACAACGACGAAACGCTTCGTGAAAAGGCAGGTAGTGCCCTTGAGGGGCTTGGGGCACTACCGTGCTCCCAGATTCGACAGGTACACTACATAAATCTACTCTTTTATTCACCTTTAGCACTTGTCCGACTTGAAAGCATTGTTTAAAAAGACTGTTTTTGAACAAGTTTTTTAAGTCATCAATCGATGAAAACAAGTTATTTAAGCAATTTCAGTTAAGTTTCATCTGATTGATTATTTGGTCTCGTTGCTTGAACATCGTGACGGACTGATTAAATCCATACTTATATTATAAATAGGAAAGTGAATCTGTTTGTTTGTTAAGCTTTCACGCCTAAACCGCTAAACTGATTTTAAAAATTATTTCACCAATAGAAAGCTAAATTATCAGCGAGTAACATAGGCTACTTTAACCAAATAACATGTCAAAAACTGGTATGTAATAATTATACTATAAGTTGTCTATATTTAAAAACTGTATTTTCTTTCTTGCTTTATAAAATATAATTAAAAATATTTACTTAATAAAAAAATATTTACAAAGAACCAGCTACCACATTGATCACATCTCTTGTTAATGATGACTAGGTTTGGTTCAATCACTCACTATGTCTCATCTTTGAACTATTAATATTATATGACCAAGTAATGCAATATGGCAGTAGGTCTATAATGGAGGGATCAGATATCTCTAACAAGTACATAAAGGGATATTAAGAACATTAAGTACAGGTACATGTTAAACAATATCGTAAAAAAAATACATGAGTAAATAGTACAATCTTTATTATTCTATTTTTGTTTATTTTTTTTATTTTTTTATTTATCTCTTTATTGTACACCATGGAAGTATTATATATACAGATATTAAATACATTTCGGTATAACAATAGGCGGTCTTATTGCTCACGGCGATCTCTTACAGACAACCTTTATACGGATATTGTCAAAAAAATTAGGGTTGCCTGGGATGTACAATTACAACAAATTGAAAAAAAAATAATTAAAAAATACTAATAAGAAACATAAGGTTACTAATATATACGTTTACAGTATATAATACATACAACTAATAAATTAAAATACATACAGGCAGAGTTACATAAATACACAAATTCCTCTATGATGCCAAGTAATGATTAGTGACTAGTTTTTTAAATGTTTGCAGTGATTTGGCTTGCCTAATTGCTTCCGGTAGATTATTTTACAGTCGAACTGCTTGCACTGAGAACTTATTCTAATATAATTAAGCTAAAAAAATTGTTTTAATATTTATTTGTTTAATCGCTTCTGTCTCATGAAACATCGATCGGATTCAAAATTATTTTTATTAAGAAAGGTTCTAGGCTGAGTAACGTCACGTTACGGCCCTTAGGTGCTGAAACTGCGGGCAAAGACCAGTATTTGTAATAAAATGTTATTAAATTTATGTAACGTCCTATTCAAAGTAAAGTCAGTATAATATTATGCCTAATATCTAAAATCGATATCTGAAATTTGAGCCGCCGGGCTCACTCATAATCGTGTCGCCTTGTATCATTTTACAACAGTGTATAACAAAGGCAAATATTTTGTTCCAAAGTAGCAAGTTACTAGGGATTGAAATAGGACGGGGTTGCCACAATTAATAAATAATATAAAATAGATAATTTATTTCAGTGGAAACAGTATATAATCATTTCAGAATTTGGATTTGGTATCTATTTTGTATAATTCATGAACGTAATTCGGTAACCAAGTTAAATATCTTGCACCGTGAACTTATTTTCAACAAAATGAATCTATTATGGGTAATATATAATTCATTTATTCAATACGTCATGTACAAAAGACGAGGGTGGCTTTTAGATTATTTATTGTTTTTTTTTTGATACGTGATCAGGTTGTTGCAGAATAATCACAGTGTAATATTTCTTTGTCTCCTATTGCTTCGTTCTCGGTAGAAGGTGCTACCGGTCACTATGTATTTTCCTTGTGCCTACTATTGTAAAGTATATTCTATGTTGTAACATGTCATTTTATTATTCTTTTACAGTTTATTTATATATTTACGTAAAAAGGTTTAGATAAAGACATTTGTCTTGCAATGTTGTAGGTACTTGGTAGAGACATTCAAATGCTTCGTAGTACTTACTCGACAAAGAGGCTTAGAAAGAAGGCAAGAATATTTACTTACGGAAAACAGTGAGTTGTTTTTCGGGAGAGGCTTTGGTGTAAATCGGTGTGTCGAGAGATACCTCGCACGAGTAGCTGCCGCTTGCAGCAAAATCCAAGTTCTGCAGGATTATTGAATTCTCTGTTGCTAAAGCGATCTGAAATAAAATAAATACTTTACAAAAATAAGTAAAAAATACAATATATACGTATGTATATGTACGTATGTGTGAAAGACGCGCAAGTTTAAATGTAATTAATATCAAGTATTCAAAAATAATATTAGAAGTGTAAATTGGGACTACATACACATACGTAGTCTAAGCAAAGACATTACGTTCAAATACATTGCAATAATTACAAGCTAGAGTTACTCGTCTGAAAAACTTAATGTTTACTAAAACTTTATAAAGAACACTATTTACTACTAACTTTTTTTTTCTAAATAAGTTAACTCTATGCAGTAAACGTGAGAGAATTTAGAAGAATATTTTTTTTTAAATAAAGAATATTTAGCTTAATATTTCCTCGCTGGTATAACCCAGAAACGTTAATTTTCTGAGTATAACCTATTTGACAGCCATAATGGCCGTCCCGCCGTTATTATCAGACTCCTTATCCTGTATAATAAAACACGTTCATAAATAACTACAAAAACCGAACAAATGGGAGTAGTACTCGCGCTCTAATGGTTCTGCACAAGTTTATACACAATTCGTAATTTTTAAATATAATTAATATTACTAACGCTGTCAAGTGCATCAATATACGTCACGGTCAATTTCCAAACCGTAATTTCCAAAAAAAAAAGTGGTTTTATGAAACCACGATACAAGTGAAAATTATTTCGGATCGGTCACCTGATGCCTATTGGCATTCGCAAATTGGCCTTGGCCGCTCGGCCGGCTGTAATGCAAAATGCGATAGATGAACGAAAAAATTTGAGGCGATGGAAAATATTTCACTTAAAAAAAAAATATCATGTCATGTTAATATAGTCATAAGAAGACGCGGAACGCTTTTCCTTTGCTTGTAGAAAACCTCTCAAATAGACGAATCTTCAACGAAAAAATGATTATGCTGGACTCAAACCGGCAAACCGATGGTAGTGTGATAGCGAGGGCGACAGTTTCGATCAGAGAGTCGCGGTTTCGAACGCCACGCCAACAGAAATGACAAATAAAAATGCTTAAATAATAAGCAATTGGTGTTTTGAACATTGCTTCCATATTCTATGAGTTTATAACCGTTTTAAAACCAACATCAACATGTGATCGTACGACCACTAGTATCCGGATCCACACCCGAAATCATTCGATTTTATGCTTCCCCAAGGGCGCCTTGGATATTGTCAAGGGGTAGAAGGAAATTATTATTTAATGTCGTAAATTTATTTATTTGTCAATCTCAATATGTTATATGTTATCACGCTTGTCAGCTTTTTACAGTCTTAAGTAATCTCATTCAACTCTTGAATGATGATTTTTTCTTTATTACAACTCAAGACGGTACTTTCTTGGGAAACTAGTATGGAATAATGTTCAAAGTCTTAATTGGCTATGGCCAAATAATTGACTTTAATGCTTAGTCTTAAGATTTTTAAATAGTTTTTCTATTTTTTTTTTAATTTGAACAGACAGTTATCATATCAAATAAATTCTTAAGAGTAAAGGCTAGCAAAGTAAAAGCTAAAACTATAGAAAAACCAGTTGTTAACATGTGTGTTAAAATAAATTGTATTAAAGAAAGTTGTTGACATGAAAGGATTGTAACGGTCAGTATTCTAAAAGAACAAGATTGTCTTTAACTAAAATAATAGTGCGGGACGTCCTCCCACTAGATATAGACGAAAGTTACAGTGGCAGGAAGGTGTTGTGTATGGTGGCGTAAGACCGAGTGAGGCCTAAGTTCAGTAGTGGACACCCCTCGGTCTGTAGCTTAAACACTTTCTATCTTCTTCTTTCTTCTCTTACTATCGTCTTACTATCGTCCGTGGAGTGACGGATTAAGAATACGGAGTGTCACCACCCCTATTCATCCCGTGGGTGACGTAAGAGCCGACTAAGGGATCAAACTATGCAGGACCACAGCACTGCAAAGAAAATGAGTACTTGAAACAAACCCGATACCAACCCATTTGGCCAGCGTGATATAGTAGACCAAAACGTTTTTTCTAAGGAGAGGCCTTTGTCCAGCAGTGGACTATTATAGGCTGTTAATGAAGCTGATGATATGATATGATCTATAACAGTATTATTGACAGGCCTACTGGCCTAGTTGTTAGTCACCCTGATTGCTAAGCCAGAGGTCGTGGGGTCGATTCCCACATAGGACAAATAATTATGTGATGAGCACGATCACTTGCTCTGTCTGGGTGTAATTTATCTATAATAGTAATAAAGTTTTATTGACGATTAAGTTTAAAATAATAATAGGTACGTAACAATACGTATGTATTTAGAAAAATATAGTACAAGATCTGCCTAGTATGGGACCAGTTTGTGAGATGTGCGAGATTATTATTTATTGTTGTATATTTCTAACGAATCATGCTCATTCTAAGATAAAGAAATATGGTCAATAGCGAATGGAATTTGAAAGTAAATTTGTCATTAGAAGAAAAAAGAAAAAGTTGTCATCCACGAAGTTTTCTCTTTTATTAGACTCTAATCTTCTCTACTTGTTCGTGTCCGCGTCTAAATTTATGGTTGAACGGGGAAGTTGCTACTCGAACCATTTTACTATAAATTTTATTTGTGAAAATATTTTCCCCTAAGAGAAAAGGTTAAATTTTTTCTCGTATAAAGTACTCTGGTATTTTTCTAGCTACACTTGGTAAAAATATTCAAGCCTTCAACAAAGGAATTGGGCCATTCAACAGGTAGCTCAAAGTGCTTTTTATGATTAAATGTTTCGATTAGGGTAATGTTATTTGAGATCAATTTATTCACTGCTTGCTTTTGTATGAATATTATCTAGATTATTAAGTAAACTCTGACAGTTATCAAGAGAAGGGATTATTTATACTGAGGCCCAAAGCTTTAAATTGATGATATTGAAGTTGGATACAATAAAGCCTCTACATCCTTAATAGAGTATACTTATACATGGCAAAGCAAAGGAGGCATATACGTGCCAAGAGATAGTTTATGTTAGTAACTGTAATATTTATGTGTGCAATTTTAAAGTTGTCGGTTAATTACTTTTATTGCACTGTATTTACAAACATTCACTTCACTTCGATGTTAATTCGTTGTGTCGTAAAACGATACTGTCCCGTACGGCCAACACGCACCGCTTTTATAGTGCTATCGATATTACTAGAGTATTCCCGAATATTCTATGGAATGTGCCAGACGTATAATAAGGCATCTAGAAAATTCTATAATACTTGATACTAGATGGCGCTGTCCTCCAGACACAACTCAAGAGCCACTCAATCCTATGGCACACCAATAATAATATAGGGATAAATTAATGCTCATTGTTACACAAATACAATGTAAACTGATAAAAAGATACCCGTAGCTTCTCGTATAGGTGCATATTATGTTGAAACTCGCGACACTACTACAATTTTAAATGGTAACGTATTCCACAAATTTCTTATGGTAAAATAAAGGAGCAGAGCGAGATGATGACTTTTTATAGATTTTCAAGAATTAGAATAGATTAGAATTAGATAGCATTTTACAAGAATTAACCTGTTGCTGAGCTCCTAAGCACCCTGTCCGAATTTTTTTTTTTTTTTTTTTTACCACATACACACAACGCCATCTAGTCCCAAACTAAGCAGAGCTTGTACTATGGGTACTAGACAACTGATATAAATACATATATACTTTTTTTTTGTAAATACATACATATTATACATAGAAACACCCAGACCAAATCAAACATCAAATGTTCATGCACACAAATGTTTGACCTGAGCGGGAATCGAACCCGCGACCTTTGGAATAGCAGTCCGTTACACAAACCACTACACCATCCAGTCGTCGTACTAGTCACAATTTTCGCATTAAAAACGCTTCGAAAACCTACACAGTGTTTGAAACAAACATTAAAGTGAAAACTATAATGAAAAATGAGAATAGTAGCGTTTCTTTAGTTTTTAGAAATAAGGCCGAATGGCTTATAGACTCGCTATCTGGGACCAGAGGGCCGTGTATGAGGTCTCAATAGTTAAAAGTAAATATAATAATTACTCCCATAATATAATTGAAGTTGAATACAGAATTCACGAAAGGTGAAGGTAATCTAAAAAAAATACGAAAACTTTATTGATTTGTTTATTCTTATACCAACCGAACAATACATAAATATTTTTATAACTATTAGTTCAACCATGAAAACAAAAAGAATATAACTACGAGTATATATGTTACATGTAATAGTTTAGTTAGTATATACCATCATAACTTTTAGTTACTAGCCTATTTATTGATCCGAGGAAATCTTTATACCAATTTAGTTCTAGCTGGTATATCAGCCGCCGCAATCTGATGGAAATGGGTGCAGTATGTGTGGGCTCGTACTTGGGACTCATCAAAATACTGATATGAATATTTAGATATGTTTATCAGCAGTCTGGCTACCACAGCACAGGCTCTGCCTATTTACTATGATAATAAATAATTTATTATCATAGTAAAACTGAACAATCACATTTATAGTTTTATTAGTTATTATCATAGAAACAAAAATGATCGTTAAAGGCCATGTTTAAATTAAGGGGTGCAATCACAGTAAACATGTTTTTTTTTTCAAATCCCTCACAGGCCGACAAGCGTGTTCATCCAACGTACGTTGGTCACAAACGCCAATGCTCGCTTTGAAATAATATTTTTTCTCTATATTCATTCACATTGACTGAAATTTGTTTTCAACGTGATAACGGGTGATTTTATTTATATTTTTTTTTTACATACTGTGGTTATCAATTCGTCTGTATTTTTGTTTTTCTTTTAGTACAAACAAAACCGCAAAGGTCTGTCCTGTGAAAGTAGTCTAAATGATGGTCAACTTTTTTTTAAATAAATCTCTTTTTCACAAGCGTGTCACATAAAATTGAATACTAGTATTTATTAATTTCTTACACTGAAATTTTACAATATCTTATCAAAAAATTGAAAATATTTCTATTTATACCAGTAACTATTATTATGTTGAGACTCAATATATGTACTCGAACATAGACCTGGTAAGTTACCTTCCTGTCCTTTAAGACACCCGTGGGAATTTGAGGAACGGATAAGTCCTTAATTCGACCCCCGATTTTACCCCAGGGGGTTTCATTATAAACGCTATATTAATAATCGTAGTCTCGTGTGGTAGGAACGCTGTCCACAAGTAATTTGAACGTCCAGTTATATTAATTCTTAGTAAACTAGAAAAGACAATAACATCCTATTCTATCATAGGAATAATTTTGAAAACTAAGGATATACCCAAATCGCCCTGCTCGACCGGAGCGATATAACCGCCACACAGTAAAATTAAGGAATGTATTAAGCAATTATTTTGTTGCATTACAGAAAGCGTGTGTGGTTACCGGAGCTTTAAACCACTCCTCCTCTTAATTTCTTATTCCCTTAATTCCGGGGGGAGAGGGGGACGTAGTCACTTACCATCATGTGACCCACCTGCTAGTTTGCCCACTATACCATAAAAGAAAAGATAAAACAAAAACACTTATTTTTCGCATCAGTCACATTGTGATACACAAATTCAAATTTAAGTCAATTTTTAAGTAAATCTTGTATTTAATACAAGATTTTTAGAGCCTCTGAGATACAAAAGTTAATAAATATTTACTTTGAAAATTAGCACTTACCACGTTGCCCGTTATCAAATATGCTGTTTTTAATTAACTTTTTATCTTTATACCATGCCTATCTTAAGGGTAGTCCCGCTTCATTTGTAAAATTCTACCCTACCAGGGATTAATAATGTTTTGATGGTGTGATTAAAAGATAATTATTTAAATTTTCTCGTCCAACCGTTATTATGTTTCGTATCATTGCCGTCTAAACAAGAAACTATTACGTTTAATGTTATCATCATCATCAGCCTTAAATAGGCCACTGCTGGACATAGGCCTCTCCTTGAAAAGGAAATTTTGGCCTACTATACCATTCTGGCCAGATGTGTTAGTATAGGGTTTGTGTCAAGTTATCCTTCTTTTTTTTGCAGTAGTTTGCTCCCCTAGTCGGCTCTTACGACACCCACGGGATAAATAGGGGTGGTGACACTCCGTATTCTTAATCCGTCACCACACGAATGATGTTTAGATTTACATTCATGTATATAAAAATGTTACGTTGGTTTGTGTACGCTTCAAAATCTCAAAAAGTTCTGCACCGGTCTAGCTTAAATTTGGGCACATTTTATCTATTTTCCACGGCAAACAAACCGTGCAGCAAAGAGTGGCAGGTTATAGCTAGTAATTATTAGTAAATGTTTAATTTATTACACTAAAAGTCAAATCCCTTTCTTATCTAGTACTAATACTTATGTGTTTGGCCTTAGGTACGTTCCATTGCATGCATAATGTTCATTCTATGCCGCTGCAGGAGGGCGTAACAGATCGACCTCGCTTTCAGGTCACACCGGTGGATTGTGAATATGGAGCTATATTTTCCTAAGAAACTAGTAAACTTATATTGCTTTACTTTCCATGAATAATAATAATCAGAGTCCTATTCAAAATTGTAATTAAGTATTTCAATTCAATAAAAACCGTTGGTTTTTTCTGAATATTAACAAAAAAAACAAAATTCTGTGTGATTTTAAAGCCTAAGTCGTCTTTTAAAGAAAATAGTTATATAAATTAGCGATTAGGGAGGCACTGGTGTATCACCTTACAGGTGTACCTTACTTACGGGACATCATCGGGACATATATGGGTCGGGACAGCGAAGAATGTCGAAAGGAGTTCACATGCCGGGCTCCCCAGGGGTCGGCCTTAAGACCCCTTCTGTGGAATCTATCATATGATGCCGTTCTGTGAACCAGCCTTTCCCCAGGATTGAGCGTCGTCTGCTACGCAGACGATACTCCAGTTCTGGCTGGGGAGCATGGCTTTCAGGCTTGTGTCGTCCAAAACATCAGTGGTCTGGGACTAAGGGTTGCGTCTCATAAGACGGAAGCTCTTTGGTTCCACAGGAAACGCAGAGGTGCAGTTCCCACCCGCTCTCTTATTAGAGTGGGGGGAACAGAGGTCGAGGTTGGCCTACACATCAAATACCTTGACCTCACCCTGGACAGCCGCTGGAGCTTGAAAGAGGCACCAGGCGAGTCTCTCTGGGGGTCGGGCGCATTGAGACGCTGGGCTTACGGGTGGCTCTGGATAAGACGGAGGCTCTCTTGTTCCATGGGCCTCGTCGTGGCCCGCCCCCCTGCGCCTCCATCGTGATCGATTCGGTGCCCGTACCGATTCAGGCCCAGATACTTCATCTAATTTTTGAGGGGAGATGGCTCTTCGACGAGCACTTCCTACAGCTAGCTCCAAAGCTGGTCGTCGCTGCTTCTGCCCTATGGCGACTTTTGCCCAATTTGGGTGGAGCAAGCGTCGCGAAAAGACGCGACAAGACGACAAGACGTACACAGGGGTTGTTAAGTCAATGGCACTATGCCGGACGTCGCCTAAATGGAGAATGTAGCGGGCAGGCGCTAGGAGGGGCCTAGATGTCTTAATAACAGCAGTTCCCGGATCCCTCCTATTACATGCGCGGAGTGGCACATGTGTGGTTTTAGTCGGTCCTTTCCGACACACCACCCCGCTGCATACGCCGGTGGGGTGACGGCCCGAGAGGGTTTCCACACGTAAAAAATAAAAAGAGGATAGGATAGCGGCCTGATTGTATTAAGACGCTATTGGGCCGCCACGTCGCTATTGAAGGGGAAGTATTTTTTCTCTGGGATAGGCCCGGATTAGATATGGTGTCAATTCGGGGACGACCTGAAATGACATGGTCCGGATCCTCTCAGAGTAGGGCACCTGCAGCGTGTAGTGGAATCACCACATACTCCTGGTTCCTGAGCCCTTTGCACCCGTCAAAAAAAAAGGGATGCATAACGTAAACAAAGTTTTGCTTGAGCCGTGGCGTCGACGAAAAGCCATTTAATTCATTAGGCCAATACAATTAGACGGCAAACTGCCGAAAAGGCAGCCCAAAACTTTCCTGTAGGGTAACCAAGTGCTACACAAATGGATTTGTTGTGTTTTATTTGCTTCATTAATCTCTAACACTGTCTTAGTAATCACGTTACGAAGTTTACATGACATGTTGTGCATTATTGGGATGTCTGTAATTGAAGTTAGATCATCAAGCTACAATTCCTGTTAAATGTACTGTCATTTTTTTGTTAAGAAGGGCTATAGTGGTACAACAAGGCTGTATGAGATTTTATTTTTACAAACAGACTGTTTGAATAGCATAATGAATAGATTTTAATTATTTCGGGTCACAGAATAGTATCTCAAAATTAGGAAGCTAAGTAAAATTATAATTTTTATGACATACATAATTATGTTTTAGAAGCAGACTTTGACACTAGTCGGGTATCTAGTTATGTGTGTACCTATTTTTACCTATGGATTATATAAATATTTTTAAAAATATATTTAACTAACATTTAGCCTTAATATTTTTATTTTAATAAAATTTATTTAATTTTTAATTTATTTTATTAGATGAACACAGGCCATGCGTTGTGTATAATGGTTAATTCCTCCAAAATCTAGGGCGAGTTAGTTTACAAACAAAGTTAAAATCACGAAAGCAAGAGGAAACAACCCCGTCGAAATGTCAGGCAGTATTAACGAATTAAAGTAGAATGGAAATGAAAATTGATGGTACTATTGACTTCGCCTTTCACCAAGGAATAGGGTTTCAAAGATCAAAAATAAAATTATGTAATCTATACAATAGATTCCTAGGCAGCTAGCAAAAAATTACACTTTCAATTAATAACATTCATTCATTCGGAGGGTTACACCACCAGTAGTACCAGTATTACTTTTTGTGCATCGGGCATGGCACCAACTTCTAACAGACTAGAAGGGACTATTGCTATTATAATGTTGCCTGTTATATTGAGGGTACTTACTATAGCTTTTTTACCTAGATATATAATTACTTTTTAATTTTTAGGGCTCTTTGTAAGTATTGTTTGAAGTCGGTACAACTTTTTTTTTTTAAGAATTTATTTTGTAATACCATTTTGAGGGTAAGATATGCTTGTAATGAGTACTTAATTACGATATTTAAAACACTACGTAACGTAATGTATAGTACCAAACTGTAGTATGTTAGATTATATTAAATATAGTTTAATAAGTTCGTTACTTTATTGAGATAAGGTAGTAAGATGTTACATTTGAACCCGAAAATATTTTGATTTCCACATTACTTGATTTTACAAAACTAGGAGTGGTATTTTTTTTTTCACATTTGTATGGAAATAAAAGGGAAATATACCCTTCCAAATAAAAAAAAGAATTTTCATGATCAGTTTACAAATGAAAGAGTTTTGAGGTAACAAACATTTTTTTTGTCTAAGTGTTTTGTAATCTCATATGCTCGTATTACTCTTTTGTGCACATATCTCTGTAACCCAAAACAAATATCTTGAAAAATAAATAAGGTCAATACATAACTGCCAAATATTGTGTGTGCCACTCTGTGCCTGTTATAGGACGGATCTTCGACCACCTTCGGGTACATTCTCTATTTAGGCGACGTCCGGCACACGCAAACGTCGCCTCCTCGCGGCTGGCCGGTATGGCGGGTGGAGGGGAAAACCCGTCCCGTCCACCCGCAGCCACACTCAGGGCCGCATGAGGCGCTAGTAAGCGTGCCTCCGCCGCCTGGTTCGCTTGCGGCGAATCGGGTCCGAGTGGAGGCCATCCACCAAAGCCCTCTGCGCCGCCTCCTTCTGCGAGATGACGTCTTCGCAGAAGGATGCGACCGCGGTAAAAGAACTATCACTACCGGCCATCATATCTCTGTAACCCTACACAAACTGCTAACAAATATCTTGAAAGAATAAAACAAGATCAATGCATGATTAGATTTTTGAAAGAGGTATTTTCTAACTACTAAAGGTCAAGAATCCTTCCATCATCAGCTCAGCATCATGGCATAACTACTAAACGCAAATACCCATAAAGTTAGAGAAATAATCTAAAACACGTTGTCGGGGCTGTAAAATTTCCTCTATTTCTCTAGGATCGCATCATCAGATCCTGATTTGGTGGCAATGGAACCACCAACATACCCTTTCGATTACAA